GTTCAGATTTTGATATATATTTTAATGGAATCAAAAATAGAGATTAGAGGTGTATGTACATCCGTAATATTTTAAAGGAACCACATACCTTCATACATCTTTCCACTTTTTATTTTTTCCTATAACTTTCTTTTTCCTGCCTTGTGACTTGTTCTTTCAATTTGAAATACATCTCAGTGCCACATCACTCTAGCAAAACCAGTAGGGTTCCCATAATTCTCCATGATGTGATACATAGATAGAGAACAAAGGGTTAACAAGAAACTAAAGACACACAATTTTTCGGGGAGAGGCAACATCACCCACAGCTACAGATTAAGTCACTGAATACTAGGTGGAGGGGAAGACGGAGGGAGGGATTTGTTGAACCAGTTGTTTGATTGTGGACCTAAAAATCCACTTTCTATGATGTGCTGTAGGCACAGTGTATGCCAAGTACTTACCTGCTTTCTTGGTTTTTAGTTTTGGTAAAGGAAAAAAAGAGTGAAGGCCTCCACCTGTCTTTAAGTCTTTCTATTTATTGTAGATCTTTCTGATTTTTGATTCCAAAGTTTGGTTGGTGGGGCAGATTCCACTGTAAGCTGAACTTTCCTATCTTGTTTCTCTGAAAAGTATTGCATTTCCCCTTATGGTATTTCAGGAGTGATGTCTGACCCAACAGCATTGATTTTCTCTATTATAGTACCCAAGACTGGGTGGCTACATTGAAATAGGTATCATTACAGTATGAAACTTTGTGGGCGGATGCTGAATTCTACAGAAGAGTTGTATTTAGCATCCTAATTATTTTGTGGTTCTTTTCCATATGGAAAGATCTAAGCTTATATTTCCAACATAAAGGCAGTTGAATAAATATGGTAAAATTAAACTTGTTAAGAAAAATAGAAAACCTATTATTTTCCATCGCATGTATTTTCAGATGTTCTTCCTTTTTAGCTCTTAACAGGGTGTAATTACAGGTGTATTTATGTATGTATGTATGTATGTATGTATTTTAGACAGACTCTCATTCTCTCACCAGGCTAATGTCCAGTGGCGCGATCTTGGCTCACTGCAACCTCTGCCTCCAGGGTTCAAGCGATTCTCCTGCCTCAGCCTCCCGAGTTGCTGGGACTACAGGTGCATGCCAGCATGCCCAGCTAATTTTTGCATTTTTATAAGAGATGGGGTTTCACCATGTTGGCCAGGATGGTCTCCATCTCTTGACCTCATGATCCGCCCACCTCGGCCTTCCAAAGTGCTTGGATTACAAGCGTGAGCCACCGAGCCTGGACACAGGTATATTTTTAAAATAGCATAAATACATTGCTATAGAAAAATATACAGCAAGCATTATTATTCTGCAGATGAACAATTTTACACATCTTGCCTGCTTTATTGTCCTCATAATCAAAAGACAGCAGGAAGGACACTGCTTACTCACAAACAGAAATTAGTCTCATACACATATAGACAAATAGTAAGTTAAATGTTTACCAAACACTTTTGTCTTTCTATAAGAAGTATAAAGGCACAAAAGGAATAAAATTTACATTACTATTTCATATAAATTATTTAGAACTATAGAATTTTAGGGATTAAGCATTTTTTTTTTTTTTTTTTTGAGACGGAGTTTCGCTCTTGTCACCCAGGCTGGAGTGCAATGGCGCGATTTCGGCTCACCGCAACCTCCGCCTCCTGGGTTCAGGCAATTCTCCTGCCTCAGGCTCCCGAGTAGCTGGGATTACAGGCGCGCGCCACCATGCCCAGCTAATTTTTTGTATTTTTAGTAGAGACGGGGTTTCGCCATGTTGACCAGGATGGTCTCGATCTCTTGACCTCGTGATCCACCCGCCTCGGCCTCCCAAAGTGCTGGGATTACAGGCGTGAGCCACCGCGCCCAGCGGATTAAGCATTTTTTAATGCAATACCCTTATTGTGTACCTGAAATCACGAAGAAATCATATGCCTTAGCAAAAATACACATAAGCACATGGGATGAACCTTGGGTGCCCACAGAAGTCTTAAGAGGCTGGAGTGCAGTGGTTTGATCATAGGTGGCTGCAGCCTCAACCTCTTGGGCTCATGAAATCCTCTCACTTCAGCTTCACACATAGCTGGGACTACAGACACACATCACCACACCTGGCTATTTTTTGTATTTTTTAGTAGAGACAGATTTTCACTATGTTGCCCAGGCTGCTCTCAAACTTCTGGACTGAAGCTGTCCCCCCACCTCAGCCTCCCAAAGTGCTGGAATTACAATTTTGAGCCACTATGCCCAGCCAAGAAGTCTTAAGATTTTGAATATGAATTCCATATCCCCTGCAAATGCCTGAATCTACTAAAGTTTATAAAAATGCATTAAGGTCCTGAAGGCACAGAGGTTAAGTAACTCATCCAGGGTGATACAGATTAACAGTGGCAGAGCTGACTAAGCCCATCTTTCATGATTTCTATTTCTATTCTGTTTGTGTTATGCTTCAAATGTGAGTATCTGCAAGGCTACTGAATATTAAATCATTGTTTTTTTTTTAGTGGAGAAGGGCAGAGATTTGGTGCCTCTCAAGCAAGATAAGTTTTTAAAGCATTTTTTATTATTTTGTGCATTTTTTTCTTTTGGGACGGAGTCTCGCTCTGTCGCCTAGGCTGGAGTGCAGTGGCACAATCTGCTCACTGCAACCTCTGCCTCCCGGATTCAAGTGATTCTTCTCTCTCAGCCTTCTGAGTAGCTGAGACTACAGGTGCCTGCCACCACGCCCCACTAATTTTTGTATTTTTAGAAGAGACAGGGTTACCATATTGGCCAGGCTGGACTCGAACTCCTTGCATTTTGATCCTCCCACCTTGGCCTCCCAAAGTGCTGGATTACAGGTGTGAGCCACCACACCCAACCCCTATTTTGTGCATTTCTAAGGTGTCAGCAATGAGGGCCTGGAACACTATATTGGGTAAGCTAGCTATGGGTGTGACCACGTTGTTATGAATGTATGATTTTGCCTGTCTTTTTCACGAGGATGACTACAAAGAAGCAAAAGATTATGAGTCTCAAAGAATTTTTAGAACTTTAAGAGGTCCAGACATTTATGAGCATGGAATCAATATTCAAGATTTTGGGATTTCTCTAGGGCACTGAAGATGTATTCCCATCTGTTTATGTGTATTTTTACTAAGGCACAAATGTGAGTTGACTTCAATGAGAGGTTGGCTTTGGGAAGACAGTTACTTAACTCTTGTGTGAGTCCAGATAATTACCTAACATCTGCATTAAAACAAGATTTTTATTTTTTGTTGTTAAATCCTTCATAAAAACTCTCAGAAAATATTATAAACTTTGCAGCAAACCACCATGGCATGTGTAGACCTATGTAACAATCCTGCACAATCTGCACATGTACCCCAGAACTTAAAGTATATTTAAAAAAAATTGTTTTCTTAGAGAGACAATTAAAAAAAAAACTTTTGCTTTTGCAGACTTAAGTAAATTCGTATTATTTATTACACTACATTAATGATTTTTCAGTAATGATATATTATAACATAGTTCAGTTTGGTGACAAAATTAATTTGCGTAATTTTATAGATGGCCGTAGCCTGGTATTTATAAAATCTTTAAATATCTTTTTTTTTTTTTGAGATGGAGTCTCACTCTGTCACACAGGCTGGAGTGCAGTGGTGTGGTCTTGGCTCACTGCAGCCTCTACCTCCTAGGTTTAAGTGATTCTCCTGCCTCAGCCACCTGAGTAACTGAGACTGCAGGCCCAAACTAATTTTTGTGATTTTAGCGGAGACTGAGTTCTGTCATGTTGGCCAGGCTGGTCTCCCTCAAGTGATCCACCCATCTCGGCCTCCCAAAGTGCTGGGATTACAGGTGTGAGCCACCATGCCCAATCTAAAATCCTTAAATATTCTAAGGGGAACTTTAATTTTTTCCATTATATATAAAAAATATTATACCAAAAATTATGTGCTATAATGATATTTTAGAATTGAAGGGATATTTTTAAGTTCTTTGGATCTCTCTTAAATGCAATAAGTCTATTCTGGGACAAGGCATTCATGCACAAAGCAACCTATGGACACAGAGCAGAGCAGAAATTAATGCAAAGTACTATACAAGTAAATTGCCATTAAATCACGTCCTATTTGTAAGGGTACAAATTCTTTTCATAGTAATTCTTTTTTTTTTTTGAGACAGAGTTTCGCTCTTGTTACCCAGGCTGGAGTGCAATGGCATAATCTCGTCTCACCGCAACCTCCGCCTCCTGGGTTCAGGCAATTCTCCTGCCTCAGCCTCCTGAGTAGCTGGGATTACAGGCACGCACTACCATGCCCAGCTAATTTTTTTATTTTTAGTAGAGACGGGGTTTCACTTCTTGATCTCGTGATCCACCCGCCTTGGCCTCCCAGAGTGCTGGGATTACAGGCTTAAGCCACCGTGCCGGGCCTATAGTAATTTTATAATATCACCTGTTACCTCTGTGAATCTTTTCATATCTTTAGGTGAGGCTGGTGGTCTGGTACTCTGTGTTCTCATGGGAGACTTATTCCTCAGTTTCTATATTGTAGTGTAATAAATGATATGCTTACCTGTCTGTATTATTTTTCTATCAGATGAGCAGGGATGATGTTCTTTTAGCTGTTCCTATAGTAGACAGTAAATTTTTGCTAAGACGATGAATTAAATATAGATTGAAATCAGTGGGAATAGCCAGGCATGGTGGTACATGCCTGTACTCCCAGCTATTTGGGAGGCTGAGGTGGGAGGATCACTAGAGCCCAGGAGGCAGAGGTTGCAATGAGCAGAGATTATGCCACTGCACTACAGCCTGGGCAACAGAGTGAGATCCTGTCTCAAATTTAAAAAAAAAGAGAGAAGAAATAAAGAAAAGAAATAAAAGTGGTAATCTATTGAAACTTGAAAACCTTTTTCTCTATTTAATAGAGATAATTATAACAATATTCGACCTGTTATACAAATGGAACCTACAATACATGTTTAAGTGATTTCAAGTCAAAGTCATGGACCCAGAGAGTATGATGATACTTTTCCATTAATTTTTGGTGAACCATTTTTATATAAATTTTATTATAAAAATTTGAGTACATTTATTAGACCTGTTATCCACTGGAATGAAACCTGTTGTACTAAGGTAATAGAAGGTAATAGAAGATGTGCAGGATCTGTTTACTCATACTATTTCATTTAATCCTCACCGCAGTCCATACATTTTATATTGTTAGCCAAAAATGTTAGAAAAGGGTATGTGTCATCACTGATCATTAGAGAAATGCAAATCAAAACCACATTGAGATACCATCCCACGCCAGTTAGAATGGTGATCATTAAAAAATCGGGAGACAACAGATACTGGAGAGGATGTGGGAAAATAGGAACACTTTTACACTGTTGGTGGGAATGTAAATTAGTTCAATCATTTTGGAAGACAGTGTGGTAATTCCTCAAGGACCTAGAAATAGAAATTCCATTTCACCCAGCAATCCCATTACTGGGTATATATTCAAAGGATTACAAATCGTTCTATTATAAAGACATATGCACACATATGTTCATTGTGTTTTTTTTCTTTACACTGTTTACAATAGCAAAGACCTGGAACCAACCCAAATGTCCCTCAATGATAGACTGGAGTGGGAAAATGTGGCACATATACACCATGGAATACTATGCAGCCATAAAGAACGATGAGTTCGTGTCCTTTGTAGCGACATGGATGAATCTGGAAACCATCATTCTCAGCAAACTGACACAAGAACAGAAAACCAAACACCGCATGTTCTCACTCATAGGCAGGTGTTGAACATTGAGAACACATGGACACAGGGTGGGGAGCATCACACACTGGGGTCTGTTGCGGGGAACTAGGGGAGGTACAGCGCGGGGTGGGGAGTTGGGGAGGGATAACATGAGGAGAAATGCCAGAGATAGGTGATGGGGGCAGGGATGGAGGCAGCAAACTACATTGCCATGTATGTACCTATGCAACAATCCTGTATGTTCTGCACATGTACCCCAGAACCTAAAGTACAAAATATTATATATATATATAAAGAAAGAAAAGCGTATGTATCTCAGAAAGGTTAAACAACTTGCCCAAGTTCACAGATAGAAAAGGTAGCAAACTAGAATTTGAACCCAGGCCTAACTCCCAAAATCTACCTCCTTTCCGTTCTACTGTACATTTACTCAAGCTAAATGATGAGATGATCAAGAAAAGGATAACCACGTTCTTTTGGGTAAGGCTGAAAATCATCTCACAGTAGGGAGAACAAAATTGTGTAAGTGTAATTAAAGAAAACTTTGTGTGCTGATAGTGATTAAATTGAAGTACTTTACATATCAGTTCAAATGCTAATTTCCTATTGTTTTCCTTTTTACTGTAGATAAGGAACATTTTTTGCCAGCTTTATAGTTTTAACAATAGTTTGACAAATTACTTACATTAACACATATATAGAATCTCACAGCACGAAAGCAATAAAAATTGTAGATGTCTAGCACGGATATTTAAAAAAATAGCTAATTAGCTAATTAGTTAATCCCTTAGCTAATATTGTGATGTAAACAAAAGAGATGAGAAAATTCACTACTGGAAGGAGGGACCATTTTCTTGAATTCCTCTCACCAAATATGTCCATCGACTTCCGATGTAGAATCCAGCCTTCCACAGAGGTAGGGAGGCTCTCTGGTCAAACAAGCTGGCATTGCTTCCTCCTGAAGAAGAGTGATTTCACTAAGGCTTGAGGAACTTGCCAGGATTCATTCTGGGGGACCCAAGTGTCCAGCTAATTTGTGATTAGCAGGGAATCTATCTCTGTGGGTAGAATGCAGAAGTATCAGTTTCAGTGTCAGACTTCACTTGGCCTGAGGTGAGTGCCGCTTCCAGGCGGCTCTAGTTCTCTCCAGAGGACATGAGATGTTGGCAACTATGGCTCCAGGAAATGGGCCCTAGAAAGAGAGGATAAAACCAGCAGATAAGGTGGAGCCTGTTTCCTGTGATTTTCCCAAACCATTGTCATGTTTGCTCAGGGAAATCTGGAGATCTGTGACAGGAGAGGCTGGCGTGGGCCCTTGGATGCAGGATGGCGGATGCTGAGTTAGAGAAAGCCCTGTGGTAGTGTGCATTGTAGTCCCCAAATGCCTTCAGATGCCAGGCAACCCGGTGGGAAACTTAAATGATTGAAGACCTTGTTGGGCAGCTATATACCATTCAAGAATGTAGACCCTGCAAGGCCAGTTTTTTGGTTTTCATGAGAAGCTAATCATTCTGTTTTTAAAAAATGAAATCTACTGGGTTTTAAATATTTGCAACCAAAGTTTTAAATTAGTATGAGGATCAAAGAAAATCCACAGGCAAAATTGCCACCAGTTAACAAGGGTTGGCGTAGAAGCAGCTATTTGGGACTTGGAGGGAAGGGGCCTACCTTACCCCCTTTTAAGGAATATTGATTTCATTAGTCTGGCTGGGTGGACCCCAAGCACTGGATTATCCCAATATGCAGTGGGGGCTGATCCCTACTCACTTAAAAGGTGATATGAAGTGACTGAATTCTAGGCACCACACAGCCCTGTCCATACCCCTTTCCTGGCTACCTTCCCTCCTCATTCTTTACATTCTCCTCAGGCAACTTTATCTTCATGTGAATGGATACATCACAGATGCATCTGTCTTTGTTTGGTTGGCTAATGCAGTGACCAGAATACTCCCTTTGATATAAAGCACTGTGATTATATGGTTACATATTATTATTACATTTTATGTGATTATATTATTAAATATTATACTATTTAAATATAGGAAGAGCAGTTACGTGAATAATTCTCTTTCTGTGTCTCTTTCTGAATTAAATGTGCATAAGAATTATTTAGGAGGTCAATACAATGGAGATTATGAAACTCCACTTTAAGAGATTCTGGTTCAGTAGGTAGGGTTCTGGAATTTGTTTGTTAAACACCCACCTGAGTTTACTGTAACACAGATGGTTGGAGACCACACTTTGAGAAACATTGACTCACAATGGATGCTAGTGGCTGACACTTCTGTTATTTCAGCTCTAGTTTCTTGCCTGAGTTGTATGTAGGTCTGCTGTATAAACAACTGCCTAATGGAAATCTCCACCATCTCTACCTGGATAACTTCTCATTGTCTGAATCCAAATGTATTATTTTCCTCCAAAGCCTGAACGCAGACTTTAAAAAAATTCCATTGAAATGTGCCATCGAAGGTACATTTCTGTTGCCCAACCCAGAAATCTACATTTGTAGCTTTGGTGGGTGGATGCCAGCAATCAGGGTGCATACAGTATATGGCAGGCACCAGTGTGCCCACTGAGTCTTTGCCATGGCTGCCCAGTGAGTCTACCTTGGCTTTCTAAGTGTAATCCAGTTCTTCTGGGACAAGCCAATAATAGCAACAGCTTTATTTACTGAGGTTTACTCTGTGCCAGGCACTCTTCTAAGTATTTCACATGTATTAATTTAATCTTGAAGCCACTGAATTCTCTGTCCAAGTTTTTGGCAGCTCAGCACCCCCTGAGGCTAGATCTACTCCCCATATTTCCAATTGCCAGCTGAGTCTACTGCTTCAAACAGATAATGTCATCATTTTCCCACGATGAGATCACTCACCTAACTATAGACTCTAGAGTTGGGGATTCCTGCTACTGTTTGCTGCTCAGAATTCCAGGGATATTGGTGGCTGCCTAAATTGGAAGCTGCTTAACATATCTGGCTAACTATTGTAAATTGACTTGCTGCCTACTTAAAAACAATAGAGTGAAGGGGTAAGAAGAAAATTCAGAGATTGTCTAGTTCAAATTCCTTATTTTATAGACTTGGAAACTGAGGCCTACAACTAAAAAGTGATTTATTAAGTGTAAGAGAGGAGAAAGAAAGAGCTAGGGAGCAAAGCTCTGTTTTCTCTCTTTATATCTAATACTGGAACGCAAGCCTCATTCTTTTTTCTTTTTTTTTTTTTTTTTTGAGACGGAGTTTCGCTCTTGTTACCCAGGCTGGAGTGCAATGGCGCGATCTTGGCTCACCGCAACCTCCGCCTCCTGGGTTCAGACAATTCTCCTGCCTCAGCCTCCCGAGTAGCTGGGATTACAGGCACGCGCCACTATGCCCAGCTAATTTTTTTGTATTTTTAGTAGAGATGGGGTTTCACCATGTTGACCAGGATGGTCTCGATCTCTTGACCTCGTGATTCACACCCCTCGGCCTCCCAAAGTGCTGGGATTACAGGCGTGAGTCACCGCGCCCGGCCCCGCAAGCCTCATTCTAATAGAGTTACGTGATACTGGGGATTTTTGTTTGTGTTGATCATTTCTGTATCTGCCTGCACCTAGAGTAGTGCCTGGAGTGCAGTGACTGAAGGAATACATCACGGATGCATTAGTCTATAGTTGGTTGGTGATGTAATGACCAAAATACCCTTTTGACATAAAGGACCATGTTTATATTACTAAACATGATTATCTGAGTTATATTTAAATATAGAAAAAAACATATATATAGTTGACTATCCAGACTAACACCGTGAAACCCCATCTCCACTAAAAATACAAAAAATTGGCCGGGCACGGTGGCTCAAGCCTGTAATCCCAGCACTTTGGGAGGCCGAGGCTGGTGGATCACGAGGTCAAAAGAGCGAGACCATTCTGGTCAACATGGTGAAACCCCGTCTCTACTAAAAATACAAAAAATTAGCTGGGCACGGTGGCGTGTGCCTGTAATCCCAGCTACTCAGGAGGCTGAGGCAGGAGAATTGCCTGAACCCAGGAGGCGGAGGTTGCGGTGAGCCGAGATCGCGCCATTGCCCTCCAGCCTGGGTAAAAAGAGCGAAACCCCGTCTCAAAAAAAAAAAAATAAAAAAAAATTAGCTGGGCATGCCTGTAGTAGGTGGTTCATGCCTATAGTACCAGCTACTAGTTGGGAGGCTGAGGCAGGGGAATTGCTTGAACCTGGGAGGTGGAGGTTGCAGTGAGCCGAAATTGTGTCACACTGCACTCCAGCCTGGGCGACAGAGCGAGACTCCATCTTAAAAAAAAATGCAATGGAGGAAACAGATGTAAAAGACACGTATGTAGCAAGGAGGTCGCTTAATTATTCTGCATAAATGTCACCTCAAAGGAAATCTGCCCTGACCACCCTTTCTAAAATTGTCACCCACATCCTTCTTGATGCTCTGATTCTACGTATTTTTCTTAATAGCACGTCTCATAGTATAACCTTACATCATTATGCATTTGGTATTCATTGTCTGTTCACTCATTAGAATAAGCTGTTTGAGCCTTGAGCTTTATCTTTCTCATCACCAAATTGCCAGAACATTGACCTGCCTGACATAGAAGAGCTTCCTGAAAACAATGGTTTTACATTTGGGAATGGCAACATAATTGGCATTCAGAGGCCTAACAAACCTCAGCGGATAGAAGCAAAATAAAAACTCATTGCTTTGCAATGCTGCAGTAAATGTGAGAGATAAATAATATTGTTTGGGGGAATATTTACAAAAACACATTCTCTTTATCATAAAGTAAATGATTTATGTATTTTTAGACTTCCTTCTATGTATTTTTACCCCATATTGAAGAAATGACCTGGAATTATAAGTAAAATTATGACATATAGATGAGGGATAGTTGCTTATTTTAAAATGGGGGCTGGGTGCGGTGGTTCACACCTGTAATTCCAACACTTTGGAGGCCAAGGCAGGCAGATCACAAGGTCCGGAGTTCGAGACCAGCCTGGCCAATATGGTGAAACCCTGTCTCTACTAAAAATACAAAAGTTAGCCAAGTGTGGTGGCATGCATCTGTAGTCCCAGCTACATGGGAGGCTGAGGCAGAAGAATAGCTTGAACCCAGGAGGTGGAGCTTGCAGTGAGCAGAGATTGAGACTCTGTCTCAAAAAAAAAAGTGATGTAGTGGGCTGAATAGTGTCCCAATGTAAGATGTAATTAGTGTCCCATGCAGATGTAATTAGTTAAAATCTCAAGAAGAAATCATCCTGGATATGGAGTGAGCCCTAAATCCAATGATGTGCCTTTCTAAGAGAAGATAGAGATTTGAACACACAGACACAGAACAGAGAATGCATGAAGGTGGAAGCACAAATTGGAGTGATGTGTCTGCAAGTCAAGCAACACTGGGAACCACCGTAAACTGTGAGAGAAAAAGAAGGATTCTCTTCTAGAACCTTCGGAGGGTGATCTGCTGCCACAGGTAATTTTACACTTCTAGTCCCTAGAACTGTGAAAAAATAAATTTCTGTTTTTTTAAATCACGTTTGTGGTAATTTGTTAGGGCAGCTGGAAAATGAATACAGTGAGGATAGGAGATATATGCTAACTTGAGGAAAGGAGGATATGTGAATTGTACCTTAGTCTACAATATTTTGAAGTATTATTATACTACTGACTGCAAATGAGTGCTCACTGTGAGCAGATTACGTGCTCTGTGAGATTCAGCTCTTTAATGGCATCCTAAAAATCAGAAGAATGGGCCAGCCAGGCCTCAGGGCTCAGCAGCTATGATGGAGGAGGGGCCTCAGTCACGTCTCAGGTAGCTCATTGGAAGAAGGCATTCCAGGCTTCTCCCTTATTCCTTCATATGAAATATTGGTGGTGGGGAGTTGCTCCCCTTAACCTTTGAGAGAGGCAGAGAGACCAGCACTTCAAATCCATGGGAGAGGGTGACTCTTACTGTTTTTCATTTCATGGCACCTGGTACTCATAATCCTTGTCATGAAACAAAGAAATAATTTTCGTTTCTTATTATTTAGAATTCCTGGTGCCAATTATTTCTTTTTACTTTCATTTCATCTCTTTCTATCCTGAGTCCCTGCCCTCATCCCCTTACTGATAAAATGGCTGGAACTGAGAAATCCATTCTCAACAATCTGGTTTATCCTACTACTACAAATGATATATTTCACTATCCCCCATG